ACACACACACACACACACACCAAAGCTTCTTGTACATTCACTGTCTGGCACAGACCTTTCTCCACACTTTGTTTTACCGCTTTGTCAGTGCAAGAGAGCAGAGGAGAGAGACGAAGACAGCAATCTGCTCGCTACGAACTCAGACCATGTGCACTGCAAAATTAGAAAATAGAGGGCTGCAGGGTCTCTGCTGATACAGACACCGCCACACACTTCTAAAGGGTCATAAGTGATGATTGAGAGGGATTATGTTTTTATGAGTCTCTGCATTGTTTTTTAATGAAAATCCTACTCAGTATGGCTTTAAAAGTTAAGCTTGAAAGTTTCCTCTCGACCTTGGGAACAGAAGTTGGCAAATAATCTCAATCTTGAAATTTTGAAATAGATATCTAAAAACAAAACCAACAGGATATTTAAACATGTTAATCTTTTATGATTCAACCGGCTTCATGTGGGGTCATGACCCCAAGGTAAAGACACTAAAAAATGGGCCCATACAATAAATCTTTATTTGTGCTAAATGCATTTGAATCATTGGTCCAAAACACATATTATGAGTCCATTGGAGGTATTTTATTTTAAAATCATTTTTATTTTAAAATTCTGGATCCTAACTTGCTCAATACTAAATGCACCTAAACGTAGGTAATAATCTGCATTAATTACATTTCCTTATGTTTAAAAGCAAAATTCAGGTATTTACCATCCTGGCCTTGTTCTGATAGTGGGCCATGTGCCCTCAGAAATGTGGACTCCAAAGAAACAATGTATATCATGGCAAGCAGTGTGAAGCTTTCCAAATAAACTGAAATAAAAAAAAATCCCGTGTCGGAGTTCTGCTAAACTGAAATTAGCCCCTTGCATTGGCAATTTTTGGAATCTACTAGCAAACCAAACTCGCCAGTATGTTTTCCTGTGTGAAGCTAAGGGGTGCACTCTATTTAGTGTGTATACTTGCTAAATAAGTAGTTGCTGGAGTGTTTCCTGAATCGCCGTAACAGAGGCAGAGATTGCAAAGTTAGCATGACTCATTGTCAGAATGGCCACAATTATGAGACTAAGACTGTACACATAAACAGAGTTGCAGTGGTTCCCTCTGTGTTGGTTAAGACCCTGAGTACTGCTGGTTTCCTATTATACCAGGTAACGAATGCCCCTCACCTGACAGTCCAGGTGTAAATTGGTTGCCCTTAGTTGGCTAGAATGAAAGGCAGTGGCAGCTAAAGTTGAGTATTTCCCTGTACGTGTCAGCTGTTAATCTAATGGTTGACTTGTTTTGGAATGAAACATTTTGATTGTATCCAGTTGTATATTAAGTGTTTCTACCTCTCTATATGTTGAAGAATTATTGTCTTTTCATATAAGAAATTCAGACATATTTTTATATCCTTGCCTGTTCAGATTGTGCAGAATCACTCAGCCGGGATACGGATGAAGACCCTGATCTGACCTTCTTAGCTCTTGCACTCATTTTCTTTGACGGTCCATTTCCATATTTGACATATTACAGTACATGGTTTACATGAGCAGTCACCAGATTTCACCATTAAATCAGTGAGGTTTTAACTCTTTACTGTCCTCTGCAGTGTGCTGGCTCAGGCATTTCAGCAGTTTCGGAGTCCAGGTTAAAGTCAGCAGGTGATTTAGTTTTTTTCCTGTACCAGCACCTCAGCTTTATAACTTTATTAAGTATTCAGTCTGCCGGAACTGTTTGTTTCGAAATCCTGCCTCAAAACACATTTTTATAGAATCCCTGTCCTGACTGGAGATATAGCTGTTTGCTTAATACAGTTCTGTCATGTTACTAGACTGTGTTTTATTTTAACATTCTCTTTTATCATTTTATTTGTTCTCTCCATGGGCCAAATGTAATCATACAGTTTCTTTATTTACTGTCTCTGTGTTTAAATATAGTTTTTATTATTTAACTGCTGTTGTTCTAATGGTATCCTGTGATTGTAGTTGTATCTCCCTTCACTGGAAAGAACTTTGTGAAATTATTATTACTAGTATTAGTACTATCAGTAATAATAATAATGGTAGCAGTATAAATAGTAGTAGTGGTCGTGTCGTCAGTAATGGTAATATAATAGTAAAAAAGTAGTATTAGTAAGATAATAGTTTATAAAGTATTAGTAGTAATATAATAGTAGTAAAGAAGTAGTACTAGTAGTGGTAAAAGAGCAGCAGTATTAGTTATATAGCAGTAAAGTACAAGTATTATTAGTATAATATGGTGTAAGATAGGTGTTGCCAGA